ACACACACAGACACATACACACACACACCACACACATACACACACATATACACACACACACACACACAGACACATACACACACACACACCACACACATACACACACACATACACACACACACACACACACTTAAAAAAATAATTACCCTCCCCCCCCCAAATCTGAAGAGCAACAACAACAAGAAAAGAAACAAAACACATCACCACATGGGGACTGGCCCCTCAGTAATAATTCAGTAAGCCCTGGTTTCCACCTGTCTGTCATGGCAGGTAGGGCTCGCCCTCTCTGTCACTGAGGGGCCTGGGCTGGCTGTCAGGTCCCTCCCTTCTCACTTGGCTCCTCTTCAGTTATCTCGCTGCCTTTGTTTGACAAAGCCTGGAGGGTAAAGCAGGCCACCCACCCCCACTTCCAGCAACCCCCCCCCCCATGGCCTCCCCAGCCCCTAGGGCCGCCCTGAACCTTCTCTGCCTGAGACAGAAATCAGCACTGCTAGTCCTGAACTCTGACAAGCGTGAGAACCTCTCCTCAAGGGGTGCCGAGAGCACTGTCTACTGGGGAAGCGAGAGCAGGGAACCCAAGGATACAATCCAGAACTTCCAATTCTGCAGGATCCTGCTTTTCACGTACTCCTCAAACATGTCTTTCATGTGGTCCGACTGGCGGCAGTTGACAGGGACCCCTGTGGCAGGCAGCAGCTGCTGGCAGGAGCTGAAACAACAGTTGCCAAGGATGCTCTGGGGCAGGTGATGGCAGAGGACGGGGAGGGGGGGCCGGGACAGGAAGCTAAACAGCTTCGATGACGACAGCAAAGGCCACCAAGGGTCGCCTCTGCCTGAGACACAGAAGTGCATGGGGTGGGGGGGGGGGGATCAAGTGGAACCTCACATGATGGGGGTGTTGAGCTCCTCGATTTCCTCCCGAAGCCTCCGGGCCTCCTCCTGCATCTGCATCCGCTCCTGCTGCAGCTTGGTGATGTACTCCATGGTCTTCTGCAGCGTGATGGCATGGCTGGTCTGGGGGGTGGCAGGACTTAGCTGGCCAGTGGCACCCAGCAGAGATGCGCTATCACGCCACCTTGCCGCTCGCGGGTAACTTACCTGCTTGGAATTGTTGGAGATCAAACTGTTGAGGGTGTTAAAGCCCATCCTGATATTGAAACGCCTCTTCTGTTCAGCCGAGATGTGCTTCTGCCGGTTCTGTGGGGATGGATCAAGTGGTCACTGAGACACAGGCCAGGCCTGCACGGGCCACGGGTCCCTCCTCACTGCCCAAGGTAACGCTGAGCAGCTGGAGAAAGACTGGTGTCTTGGGGCACATGACAAGCTGGGGCCAGACAACTACGCAGGAGAGGCAGATGGCTGAAAAAGCTCCAATAGGAGTCAGCAGGAGTGGGCAGGACTCAGGGCCTGGGAAGCAGCATGTGCTCTTGTCCAGGCAGCCAGACGTACGATGCCGCGTCTCCACAGCCAGTGCTTACAGTCCCACTTCCAACTGGTGTGGCCAAGGTGGCATGTACCCTACTGTGTCATGAGGGCGTGGTGTTGGTCTCTGGCCACGGGGCGCACCCAGAGCTCTGAACAGGCCCCGGTCTTCATGGGTTTGTGGTGGGATGGGAAATGCTCGGTCAATTTACTCTTGGTGTTCCTGGGTTCGCAACACCAGCTGGATCTGTGGCTCTCCTTTCCCTCCCCATCCACCAAGGGAACCAAGACCCGAGAGAAGTAAGCCATACCTTTAACGCAGCCACGTTTTTGGGGTCTGTGGGTTTCCCTGAGCGGTTGTTCTGGGGAGACTGAGGACTGGGACTCTGCTCTGACGGGCAGGGCGAGGCTTGCCCTGAGTTGGGACATTCACGGCCTGAGGAAAAAGTTCTCTTAACAGGCAAATCCTTGGGAGAGGGGACTGGAAAAATAAGAAGGGAGGCTTCTTTGTCCTGGCCCCACAGCGGTCCTCACCAACCAGGGGGACTTCGCGCAAGTCCATTCTGAACCTTTTATGGCTACCCCAGGGAGAAGAGTGGAGATACCCTTCCCCATATCCCAAAGGGGATTTCTTGTTTCCAAGGCAAGTTAGATGTGGAACATGACTGAATGTTCCCCCAAACCAGGTGTCAGCAATTGCTCAGAGGAAGGGCTGAACTGCTAACCCAGTCCCTAAACTGCTGCCTCAGGGCAGCCAGAGGCCCTCACAGGTTTCTACGGCAATAGATCCTAACCCACAGCACACTGGCATCTTCTTTATTTTTGTTCGTTCAGTTCCACACATGCGTTCTTATTCTTCCTCTCACTCGCTCTGAAAACATTAAATGAAAGTATACCACCTTCTGACCCACACAGACTAGACTTGAGTTCTGCTGTGACCCCCACGGGTTCATGTCCCACCCACTGGTGTCCCTTGGTGCCATTTCCTAGGTCCCTTTAGAACCTCCCCGGCCTGTTTCACTTGGTTCAAACAGATGCTCCCAGCTAAGCCATTTTCTGCTAGATTACGCGGCTTCAGTGCACGGCTCTCAAGGTCGCACCCTGCAGTCCTCAGGCCAGGCCGGCTTCCCTTCCCTGGATAACTTGAGAAACCTCAGGCCAGGCCGGCTTCCCTTCCCTGGATAACTTGAGAAACCTGACTCCTGTCTCTTGAGTCTCTATCTTTCCAGACTGAAGCGTCTCCTTCTTCAAAACCGGCCCTTGGACAGGTGCACCCCTCTTAGCTGGAAGCCCCTCCTTATCCTCGTGGGTAAGACGCTGAGAAGCAGCCATGGTTTTAGCAAAGGAGAGAAGGCATCACGGTGAAGCCCAGTGACAGACTGCTTGCCCAGGATGCGCACACTGTTTCTAGCTCCTTCCCCAGTACGGCACCGGAAGGAACCCGCGTTCTACCTGCAGCCCAACACTCATGTCCAGCCCCTCCAGCCCCTGACCTTCTGACTCCGCAGCCATTAGGCAAAACCGGTACGGTCCTGACTGGCCTCAGTTGTGAGGTATGAAAACGGCTACAGATCCGCAGTGGTTTAGAGACCAGGGGAGATGGTACCGGGTGACGAGCCTGCTGCTGGCTTCAGAGCTACAGCCATCCCAGGCTCAAGTTTTCTGACTGCTGACGAGCATCTGCAGTCCCTTTCTGCATGGAACCGGCAGCTCTGAGCCAGACCTTCTGAGTGTGGTTACCTGAGTGTGCCAGCTCCCCCTATGGACACCTGCCACCCCGTGTACCTGTTCTGCTGGTGCGGCTACAGCTACCCTGATGCCCAGTAAGCGTTTCCCCAGCCTGTCTGTGCAGACTGAAGGTTCTGTAGGCCAGGCTTGATTCCGGGAGCCTGTGAATGGCCGGCCTCCCCACCCGGAGCAAGCTGCTTCCTTCCTCCAGGAAGCCCCAACCGGCCCACTCAGGAGAATGGAGACTACTTACCAGAGCCCGTGGCAGGGACCTGGGGACTACCCCCATGAAGTGGGGCCTGCTCGCCCTTCACCAGGGCATCTTGCACTGTACTCGGGGAGAAGAGCCGAGAGACGGGGGTAGGCTGGCTGCTTGTGCTGTGGCTGAGGAACTCTGTGACTCCAGAAGCCTGTGGAGACACAGGAGAGAGGTCATGGACACTGGCTGAGAGCCACACAAACAGGCCTCACAGGGAGGGACAGACCCCGAGGCCTGCCTCGGCTGGCTCTCCTTACCCTGGTGATGGCAGCAGAGGCGATGACCACATTGGATGGGGACACAGTAGACGCCAGGATCCCTTCTCTCTTCAGAGGGGCTGACGTCATGATCACCTTCTGCGGCTGGCCTGAGAAGGCGGCTGCGGGGATGAAGAGAGGTCAAGTGAGGGGCTGACCCTGGAGCTGCTACCATCAAAACCGCTGAGCCGCAGACGGCCAGGAAAACCCGGGCATCCCATACCCTGCTAGTGAAGCATGCGGCTCCTTACCAAGGGGCAGGCGGACAGAGCCCCAGGGCATCTGAAACAGTTTTGTGCCTTTTTCGTGAAAGAGTCCCACTATAATCCCTCGGGAGAGCTGCCCATGACCATGCGTTCTTAAACCGTGTTTTCACGCCGAGTTCCCATCTTTACTTACTTCAGGTTCTATTTTATTCACTTTGTGTGGTGTGTGGGGGCGGGCTGTGCACGTGCCATGGTCCACGTGTGGAAACCGATTCTCCCCTTTCACCACGCGGACCCTGGGGATCCGACTCAGCTCGCCGGGCTTAGCAGCAAGTGTCTTTACTTGCTGCGAATTCTCGCCAGCCCAATTTGAGCTTCTTTACACAAGGTCTCATTATATAGCCTTGGCTGGCCTGGGGCTCACTATGCACCTCAGCTGGCCTCAAACCCCAAATCTTCCTGCCTCACTCAACCTCTCAAGTGCTGGGTTCCCAGGTATGAGTCACCACACCCAGGTCAAGACTAGACCAATGTTTAAACATACAGAACGGAGAGACAGACTGCACGCTGAATTATCCATGTTCCTCTGTTCCATTTAAACGGGGAGGGAGGTGTCACGGATTTAAAGCCGCTGAGAAAGGGAACCACTGACCCCAGCCACCCTGGCAGGCGCTGACCCACCTCACCTGGAGCAATGCGGGCGTTCTTCAACACCAAGGACACAGGCTCAGGTTTGGGAGCAGGCACTATTTTGGGGGGTTGCTTGGGTCTCACGCCAGTCAAGGACACAGGTTTGGGGTGTATAAAGGTTAAATGAGGCTGGGGAGGTCCCCCAGCTGGTGGCTGGGGGACAGGTGACAGTGCCAGGCCGCAGGGGGACGACGAGGGGGCTGGGTGGTGGGCTGTGATAACCAGACCCTGGCTCTGGCTCAAAGTGGTGGCAGAAGCATCGTGGGTAAGAGTGGCCGAGGCCGTGTGGGTGATTACAGGGGTTGACTTGCTGACCCCGGCGAACTTCTGTGGGGACAGGAAAGCTGGGGGAGCTGAAGGGCTCAGAGTAGAGGCAGGAGGAGAAACCAAGGGCAGTGGCGCTGGGACAGGTGCCGGGGCGGGGCCAGGGGAAAGCAAGGTCATAGTGAGGACGGGGAGGAAGGGCTGTGGGACACTCAGCGGTGCCTCAGAGGGACCAAAGTCTGCAGGCTGAATAAATGGGTCCACAGTCTGGGGAGTGCGTTCACAAGCCTGCCCGTCTGTGGGGTCCAGGGACGGGGATGCAGAGGGCGCAATGAGGCTGTTGGGAAGGCTCACGGTGGGAAGAGCTGGGTTTGGCAAGATGTTCCCCTGCGGACGGAAGAGACGGAAGAAACAAAGCTATAACTACATAACCAGCGCTCACTGTTTGGCACTACACAGCACACAGGCTGACTGTGGACGTGGGGACCGGGGGCCCCCAGGGGCGGGAGGCTATCTCTCTCCCAGGCCCGACACACTGCTCCGCTGGGGAAATGGATCTGTGTCCCCGGGTGTCAGCAGGGGTCTTGTTTCCATTGGGAACTAATGATAACACAAGAGCTCAGACAAAGCTGGACAGAAGCCTGGGGTATCTGGTTTCTAGAGTCTGGTCCAGGTCTACCCACAGCCCCTGCCATCTTCTGTTACAGATCAGAAGCAGCCTAGACACAGCTGCTCAGGGATTCTCCCAGGACAGCTCCAAGTATCGACTTCCATCAGGCTCTCTCTTCCCGAGTGGAAAGGCTATGAGGAAGCACCTGGGCAGATTTGTCTCTACAGAAGAAAGGACTATCTGAGCTAGGAGGGGAAGGTGCCAGGTTACCAGGTGACTAACTGAATAGAGCGCCATCTTGACAGCTCCCCCAGGGCAGAGAACTATGCCTCACTCCATTCTGTAGCCCTAACACCTGTAATTATCTTTTATTAATTGTTATATAAAAAGTAAAAACAATACACAACATATTTTTATTAGTGATCCATGTGTTTCTTCTGTAACTAATCTTGTCTTAGAAAAGAGCTGGCTGGGGGCTGAGGAGCTGGCTCAGCAGTTAAGAGCACCGGCTGGTCTCCCAGAAGACCTGGGTTCAATTCCCAGCACCTACAAGGCAGCTCACAACTGTCTGTATAACTACAGCTGCAGGGCTTCTGACATCCTCACACAGGTATACATGCAAGCAAAACACCAATGAACACACACACACACACATACACAACAAAAACAAACCAAAAAAAAAACAAAAACAAAAAACAAACAAACAAACAAAAAAACCCAAAAACTCCAAACCCCACAAAAAAAGAAAGAAAAGAGCTGGCTGACAAGATTTCGTGGGCTCTTGACCTTAGGTAGGAAAACAGTTTTGCTGGTTTGGTCTCCCATCTGGTGGGGAGTTAAGGATGCTCAAAGAGGGTCCATAATCCTCTGCGTATGCACATGCATTCAGCGGGGATCCAGCAATGGCCCCAGTGTGTTGTCAGCTCATGGTCACAGCATTACCCTAGCTCTGGCTGTGAGGTTGACGACAGCCCTGTACCTGCCATGCCTGCGCCCCAGCTTCCTCTACCTGAGAAGGTGGGCTGCTGGGATCTGGGGCAGGTACTGACGTAGGTGTAGGCAGCACGGAGCCAAAAATGGATCGGCTGGAAGAGAAGAGATCTGAAAAAGAACATGGGAGTCTTTTGAAGTCCATGAGCTTACCATTTTCTGGAAATGATGGCACATAACCAGGGGCCTCAACCCCACCTCACCCCTCCCAAGGATAGTTTTTTTCTCTAGAAGGAGGATTCTGACTGGACCACTTGAAATACCAAGTGTTCCAGACCTGGACAGTGGCAGAGCTCAGGAGCCGACCTAACAACCTCGGGCACTTCCCAGGGAAGTGGCTGTGTTACAGCGCCCTCTGCTGCCAACCTAACAACCTCGGGCACTTCCCAGGGAAGTGGCTGTGTCACAGCGCCCTCTGCTGTCCAGAGCAGGAGCTGCTCACAGTCACAGCCCAGCGGCTGCTCCCAGCAGGAAGAAAGCCCAGGAAACCTCCCCAGGCTTTGCACTTGTTATGAAAAAAAATTTCAGTTTTGAAAAATTCTAAGCCTTTCCTTTACACCCATCTCCAACTGTCCTCTCTACAAAAGGGGCACCAGTCTGATGTGGGATGGGCAAGGGAGGTCCAAGTATCATGTTCCCCTTTGTCCTCACCCTGGAAAGGTTCAAAGGTGTCCATGAAGTCCAGGTTGGGTTGCAAAGGGATCAGGCCTGGCTGGATCATGTCTGCATTTCCCAAATGTGCTGCAAGAATTGCAAGTGAGAGAGGAGAGTCATTTTACCTCAAATAAGGTCAAAGGAAAACATACAACTAGTCTGGAACAGATCCTCCCGACCCTACCCATTCTAGAATCTTCCAAGAACTTCCTACAGGAAGCTAACTAGCATTTCTCCATTCTTGGGGGTCTGTGGCCATCCTTAGATACATGTTCTCTCCAACCTCAGAAGCCAGGAAAGACAGGCAGAGGAGGATCACCATGCAGCTGTGAGCTACGAGCAGCCCCGACCCTGCACCCAGCTCTCCATCCCCACAGACCCTGCACCCCGCTCTCCATCCCCACAGCTCCGTCCCTGCTCAGTTCTCATCTGCGGCCCTGCCCTGAGGACCTGGAGGACCGAAGGCTTCCAGGAGGGACGTCACGAGTGTAGTACTCATCGGACACGTCCCACACTCCGAGAACAGTCTCCGAAACAGTGAACGGGCTCAGATCAGAGCTGCTGCTTTCTCACAGTGGGACTAAAAGAAGACTGGCCACCCCTGCAAGGCTCCATCTCCGGGCTCTCTCATGCAGCTGCCCAGGACCTCAGACAAGGGGCTCGGGCAGTCCTCTTTTTCCTTGCCAGCCTAAATAAGTGCCAAGCTCAGAGGTGCCCTAAAGAAGCCTGGCCTAGAGGAGTCTTCCCAGAGAAGCAAGCCAGCTGTCCGCGGACAGAGACTCGTACCTATTTCCCGCGGGTTGGGCCAGGCCACTGGTTGGTGTGAAGACAGTGTGGAGAAGAGGGTGTCACTGAATTCCGACATGAGCATGTCTGTGTCCAGCAGCGAGTCCTCCTCCATGGGGACGGGGGTCTTCCAACCATCTCCATGTTTGTGCCAATACAGCATGTCATCGTCCTGGCCAGCAGGGGTGGGAGAGTCAAGAGCAGCTGATTAACTATCCTCCGTCCTGGCTCGCATTAGAGGGTCGCTTCGTCAAAGAGGCGAGGGCGGCAGCATTCAGAGCCCCTCCCCCCTTAGCCTGCCCTGCAGAGAGGGCGCCCTGGCCACCTGCAGGGCCTCCGTGGAGGAGGAGCTGCTGCTGGGTCTGCCTTCCACTGCGGGACTCACTGGGGTACTCACAGCTCGTCAAGACAGGGCTCCCGGCTCGCTTACCTGGGCCAGACTCGAGAGGTCCTCATCCTTGTGCTGTTGCAGCTGTGGGCAAAGGGGGAAAGTGAGGCAGCCACCGAGAACCCTGGGCGCCCTAATTTCGCCTCTGTATGCCAGGGGGCTGTATGGGAAGCGGGGAGCTGGGGAATGGGATCCCGCTGGCTGCCATCCCGTGAATGCGGGCCCGAAGGAGGAAACAGCCCTCTTCATGGCTGAGGAAACCACAGCCACTGCTTGGTGTTGGGTACGGTATTCCCACACCGTGCTCTGGGACTGCCGTCGGGGCAGCTGTGGAGCCCAGGGTCTCCGGCCACATTCTGAATACAGCTCCGTCTCCGGCCTGCCCAACCCCAGCCCCAGAGCTTCCAGAACACGTTCTTTGGGAGCGCTCGCCCACACATACCCTTTTCTTGAAGTAGGTCCTCCACTTGTGGTACTCCCGGATCACAATCTCAATGCGACTCTTCCAGTATTTGCCCTCTGTGGTGATGGCCTACAACCAAGAGGCCGAAATGAAAAGCAGGTCTTGGGTGGTGATTCAATCGCAGCCCACGAATACCCAGTATCTATCACTGAAGTGGCCTCAGGTGGGTCTCGGGTCAGAAAGCCCCAGTGCGGCTTCAGAGACGACAGCTTCACTCACAGGGCACCCCCTCTCCGCTGAGCTTCAACCTGGACCCGAGCCAAACATGTCTCCTCAGCACCCCAACACCAAGGGCGACTGCACACGGTACTCAGAGAGGAGCAGGGAGCTGCTTCCTCCTGCCTGAGGATGCTAAGGAAACTCACAAGTGGCCTGCAGATGCCCCCTTCCAGCAGCACCTGCCCTGATCTCAAAGGGTGAGAAGGGGGCTGGGGAAGGCAAAGGCGCCTGCCCTCAAGCCCAACGACCTGAGTTCGATCCCTGGGACCCACAGGGTGAAAGGCAATGACTCTCAAAAGTGTCCTCTGACCTCCACACGTAAGCTGTGACACACACACACACACACACACACACACACACACACACACACACACACACACACACACGAGAAAACAAATAATCTAGTTTTAAAATTTTTAATTTAGTCTTTTGGGGAAGAAGGTATAGCTCAATGGTATAACATGCCTGGGATGTAAGAGATCCTGGATTCTATCCTTAGTACCAAAATAATAAAACAAAATACAAAAATAAAGCACTCTCTCCAACCTCTTTTCATCCTGTTTTTTCAGATAGGGTCATTTTAGCCAGGCTGGCCTCCAACTCCCTATATATCAAGAATGACCTCGAACTCTGATTTCCGTGCCTCTACCTCCCACAGGCACGCTAGGACTGCAGTTCTGACACCATGCCCACTCTATGTGGTGCCCGAGACGGAAGTGAAGGCCCAGTGTGCTAGGAGAACACTCCGCCAGCTGAGCTGTATCCAGTGTGAGCGGAGAGCACTGACTTCCAACTTTCCTGGAGGGGTTGTGTATGTGCTCTGCTTTATCTGCTACGGAGCCAGCCTTCCCTGAATAACTCTCCGAAGAAACTCCAATTTTACCCGAAAGCAGAGAATGCGGCCCCCATGGTCAGCTTGTCTAAGGACTCTCCTGGAGGCTGGGACTACGGGAGGCCACCGCTCCTCCTCCAGGTCACCTCAACTGGAGCACAGCTCAGGGTCCCCTATTCCGGCAGCTTCTCCCGCAGATGTGGCCCTTTGGTGGCTGTTTCCGGCAGGATTCCCGGCACCCCCCTCCCTCCGGCCCTCTTCAGACACTTGCTGGTAAGCACCTCTGGCCGGCGGTGCTCATCCACGTCAACAGAGCCGTCCAGTGGGGTGACAAAGTGGCACACAGGGTTCTTGCGTTTCTCCAGATCTGGGTTGGGAGGAAAGAGAAAACACCCTAAGACCCTGAAGGAGCTCTAACCCAAACTGCCACACCCAGAAGTGGTCTTCCCTTCTTCCGCTGGAGAAATGGAGAGTTCTGAGAAGTAAGAGCAGCAGCAGGCAGGCCCAAGGCAAAGAACGCCAGTAATAGCTACGTAAGACATAAAGCTGCTCATCTACACAAAGGCGGGAGAATCCGCTCTGCTCCTCAAACCCGCATCCTCCCATCCTCAAACCCGCATCCTCCCATCCTCAAGCCCGCATCCTCCCATCCTCAAACTAGCCAGGAACAAGAGCTCTACAATGGCACCCATGTCTTCTTAACCTGCTAGAAACAGAAACTGCTCTGTGGCTGCTCCAATGTCACCTCTTGCCTACATTCTCCCAACTCTCCTGAAAAGAACCCCTCACTCCTTAGGGCCCAAGTACCCACCCAGCATGCACTATACACACTGTGGTCAAGGACATGTCTGTCCCTCCAGACTCCAGGCTTTGTTGGCTGACTCTGCCTGATGGCTGGTGAATGCCCTGGTCCCTGGAATGTATTATCATTTGGTTTCCTAGCACAGGCTGCTCAGGCAATAGTTTGCTATAAACATCTTTTAAGAGCAGGCTATAGACTCAAGGTGCTCAGGCCTCCAAGATGTGGAGCCCGGACACTGCAGAATTAAGGGCCCTTGGGGCACAGCACACCCCCTGCCAGGCTGACGACACACTTACACTGCATGTACCATGCCCGCCAGATGGCGTTGTTGAGCCGGATCTTGTCCCGCCACTGAAGCTTCAGGCCCTTGAAGTTTTTCCACTTTGGAGACACTAATTTCCCACTGGAAAACAAGACAAAGAGCGGAGAGTCAGTAGCTCTTTAGAAAATAAAAGTGAACCCAATCATTCCAGACGCCAGAACCCTGGGTTGATCCATTACAAGGTAGGCCTGATGAACACAGTCACTCCAGGATTTCTTTAGAGCATACGGGGAGAGGGGGCCATGACAATATTCAGGCTTGGAGGACATGCTGCCATGGGGGGTCAGACATGGGGTTTGTGCAGACTCTGGGCTCCTGCTTACCCTTGAAGTTTCTCATGACCAGACATTTAAAAGACATACTGCCAGGTGTGGTGGCATCCATCTTTAATCCCAACACTCAGGAGGTAGAGGCAGAGGACTGTGATTTCAAAGCCAGCCTAGGCTGCTATCAACTGACTGGAAACCAGGCTCTTTTTGCCAGGGCTTGGCTCACTTCTGTTCTCAGTCACCACTGGCCCATGTCAGGCCATCAGAGAAAGCGATTCTCCTCAGCGCTCAGAGGTGGCAGCTGGCGTAGCACCTGGGAAACTAAACCACCATGGAGGCCGTGACACCAGGGAGCTCATTCTGCCCGTCATCAGCCTAGTCTGGGGGTGCTTTCAATTCACTGTACAAGACCTTTTTTAGATTTATTTTTAAGTAAGTAAGAGAGAGAGAGGGGGGGGGGGAGGTGTGTGTGTGTGTCTTTTATGTGTGGGTATCCATGGAAGGCAGGAGAGGGATTTAGATCTCCTGGAGCTGGAGTTACAGGTAGTTATGAGCCATCTGACGTGGGTGGCGGGAACTGAACCCAGGTCCTCTGAAAGAGCATCAAGTACTCTTAACCTCTGAGTCATCTCTCCAGTACCCAATTCTAGAGGAAATCTGAGGCATACTCTTACAATTAAAGACAGCACTGATGGGGGCTTTGAGACCAGTCTTGAGCCGTCCATGGCCCTTCTGCTCGGTGTCTGACACATGTTCCTTCCTCTTTAAAGAACTCCCCCCCCCCCTGCGTTAACACCATCTGCTCTGGGCCAGTGCTGGCTTCTCTTCTCCTCAGCTGCTCCCTCTGATGCCTTTTTTCATATGGGTGCCGAAGAGCATCTATCTGATGGCAGGTCACAGCCCTGCCCCTGCTCCAAACCTACTCACACAGAACAGATGAGTGGCAGAGTATTTAAAAGAGGCGCCGGAGCAAGACATTAAGTGAATCTGAAAGCCTGCCACGGAAGGAAAGTTCCCTACTGAATGCCTGACAGAACTTTCCCTCCCTTCCACCCACACCTCAGGGCCCAGGCTCTGGATTATGTCAGACAGAAACCTGTGGCCCCAGGAGCTCAAAGACAGCTCAGCCATTAAAGAGTAACCACTGCTGTTCTTGCAGAGGGCCAGTGTGCTATGACAATCTTTCTCCATCACACTACGTGGCACCTTCAGGTAGGTATCGTGACGGGAGCAGAAGACAGAGACAGATACTGAGCTGTAAACAGTGTGAGGATCTCTTGGTTCTCCCCACGGCTGGCTGAGACGTTTCTCTTGTTCAGGATACTTAGGGCAAATACAGTCAAACGTTAGCAGGAACAAACACACAGATTTCTGAACTTCCACCACCAAGTTTCTGTAACCTCTGTAACCAGCAGAGGGCGCTATAGACACACACAGAAACTAGTCAAAAAGCAACCCCAAAGCTGTCTGGTCCCTGGAACGGATGACTGACAGGTCCGACAGCATTGCTCATGGTTACACAGTATCAAAGGTCACAACGGAAGAGAGTGGGGGACACAGCTCAGGTATTACACATTCCTCTCCATTTCTTCCCTGCTGGGCTCTCGGGCACCCCACAGAGGGAGGAGGAGCTGTGTGTACAGGAGCCCTTCTTAGACTACAAGTCCAGTTTCCCACAGAACTAGGCGAGGCTGCTCTAGGACTTCACAAGGCAGCTGCAGGCCAGCCACTCCATGAGAGAGAGGACACCAAGAGCAGGTGTTCTCATCAGACTTCTGCTTCCCACAGTGACCTACCTACAAGGACATCTCTTTCAGACAGTCCAAGCCTCAGCCTTCTTTAAAAACACACCCGGAAATACTGCAGAAAATGTGTGAGATCACCGGCCTCTTCCCAGCCCCGGGAAGCTTCTCCCAGCCCAGACTTCTGAAATCTGTCCTGTGTGTCACAATCCTGACTCCAGGAACACTCACTCACAGGGACTTAGCCCCACGCCCACCCACTGAAAGGCTGCCTGGGGTCTAGCCCTGACTCATCCTCGGACTGCTGGCCGAGTGCAGACTTGGAGGTGCTTTTAAACCCAGGTATTCTACCAAGGCTAGTGTTCCCACGAAGAAGTCTTCATACACTCCGCCGCTGCCCCCTTCCTAGAAGGAGGGTTCCTGACACCAAACAGGAAGTTCACAGGACAACAGAGGCCCCTCTTACATTCTGTTGTGTGGAGCTAGCAAACCAGGAATTCTTCAGCGGTCTGGCAAGAGACTGCTTCAGAATGAAAATTCAAGTGCAAGCCTCAAAAAGGCGGCTCTGGAGAAGCAAGAAAACAGGGAGGAGGGCAGAAGTGGGTCATGGACTCTGCTCACTGGGGTAGAATTAGACACCGACTCTTGCTCAAGCCTCTCTAAGAGGAAGCAAACAGAACCAGTCCAGGCTACCGATTACAGCTCTGGGTCATTCATTCATCTGTTCAGTTCAACCCTATTTCACTTCTTCACTGTTCCTGATGTTCCCAGGAGGAACAGCCACTATAAGACACCCCCAGCCCTCACTTGTCCCCTGCCTCACCAGTATAAAAGGAACCAGTCACAGGCGGTCAGGTCTGACCTCTCCTTTCCTGCCCATGCTCTCACCTTAGTTGGCTACTGGCCAAAAACAAAACAACACACACACACACACACACACACACACACACCCCAGCTGGTGACTCGCTTACAATCCCATCCCCAGTGTGATTAGCAATAAAGGTGTTTGCTTGTTTTTTGTTTTTCGAGACAGGGTTTCTCTGTGTAGTTTTGGTGCCTGTCTTGGATCTCACTCTGTAGACCAAGCTGGCCTCGAACTCACAGAGATCCACCTGGCTCTGCCTCCCAAGTACTGGGATTAAAGGTGTGTGCCACTGCCGCTCGGCTAAAGGTAGCTCATTTTATTTATTTATTCACTAGTTTTTTCTTTGAAGTCTGGAGGCTTAAGTACAAGTCTAAATACTCCATATGAGATTTCCAGTTCCCAACTCTTCCTATTTTCCTGAATATCAATGGGCAGGCTTCACCAACACACAGGCTGCTCTGGAGAAGCTGGGTGCTTCCAGAGAAAAAGTCCTGCGGAATCTGATACTTATCTCAACCCCAGGAATGAGTTATTTGCCTATTCTGCCTCTTACCTAAAGAGAAGCCCTACTTACTGACAAGTTCCCAGGGGGCTACTTTAGAGTAACTATGCACATGAACATGCTTCTGAGAATCACCAATTTAGAAGGGCCTCCAACACCCAAGAAGACAAAACACGAAGAAATAGTATCACAAACAGATAAAAAAAAATCCTTGTTGTGTTTTTAATGAAATAATTTCCAACTACAAGAGATACAGACAGGCTCTTCAAAGTTTACAAAGAGACAGTATGTGGGAAGGGTCAGAAGAACAGTAATAGCTACAATTTTCCAAAGCAGCATATGATGTGGGGGTGTAGGAAGAATGAACTTAAAAAAACAACAACCCTTTAATTTCCTTTCCTTCCATACTCGTGATAAAATAGGTAACACAATGTAGAGTTTTAACCATTTTACACATGTTCAGTTCCGGTAACAACCTTCACACCTGTGCAGTCATCGTTACTCCCCAGTTCCAGGACCTTCCCTGCCCTCCTCAAACTGCCCCACCTACTCAGTCCCTGTCTTAGGGTCCTGTTGCCGTGAAGAGCCACCGTGACCACGGCAACACTGACCTGGGGCCGGCTACAGTCCAGAGGTTCAGTCCACTGACATCATGGTGGAAAGCATGGAGGCGGGAAGGTAGACGTGCTGGAGAGGCAGCCAAGAGCTTTGCATCAGGACCGGCAGTGAACAGGAGAGAGAGAGAGAGACACTGGGCCTGGCTTGAGCATCTGAGCCCTCAAAGCCCACCCCATGACACACTTCCTCCAACAAGGCCACGCCTCCTAATAGTGCCACTCCCGAGGGGCCGAGGGGACCATTTTCATTCAGACTACCAAAGTCTCCATTACCTCCTCCCTCGGCAACTGGAAACCACCAAATCTGTTCCCTGTTTCCACACACTTGTCTATACTGGACATGTCATATGAACGGGATTGTTCGGTATATGGCCCTCAATGTCTGAATTCTCTTAAAATACCATTCTCAAGGTTCACCCGCACTGCAGCACTTATAGAGCATCCTTTCTTTTCAGGGCTGAGTCCCACCCCTTCCTACAGCTACAGCTAGGGTGGAGCTCACAGCAGAGTGCTTATCTGGTATACTCAAGCCCTTGGGCTCCTAGTACTGCCAAGGGGGCGAGGGGCAGGAACAGGAAAAAACAGAGAAAGATTCTATTCTTCTGTGTTGTAGAATGCTGTCCTCTGGGCACAGCATGGCCCTTAGAAATCCGAGTGGCTGTGACTTTCTGCACAAGGTCCTCACAAGATCGGGCCCATTAACGTTCCCCTTAAAGGAAGGGCAGCTCACAAAGGGCCCAAGGAGGGCTCACGAGGTGGCACTGCAGACCCACAAGTCCCTTCCACTCCCTGAGGAGTGGGGTCGGGGAAGCAGACAGTTTTTTGGTGGTGTGGCCACTGTAAGTATCTCCAATTAAACTCATGGGCTTGACAACGCGCGTGTGAGCAGAATCACATCCCCTGCTCTGTCATCAGTGCCCCATCTAGGGTGATAAACATTTGGTTACATTTCCCAGCAAAAGCCACGCAACGTATGAACAGATTGCATTCTGTTTATCCATTCATCTTCAATACCTTTGAGATACAGTAATTAGTATTGCCAGAAACAGGCAGAAACAGGTGTCTCCCTAGGAGACTCAAGTGTTG